ACGAGAGGGAGGGATGGGGGTGGGGACGAGCCCCAACTGATCAGGCCCTGGAGACAGAGCCCTGCCTCCCCCCGGACACCCCAGGCCAGAGAGGTGCCCGGCCCCTTTCACACGCCCCCAGGCTCCTGTGCACCCAGAACTGTAGTGCTGGCCCAGTGATAGAGGCCCTGGGCTATTTGCCAGCATTTCTAGGGGGCGAGCACCGCTGGGGTGGTACCGGGTTCCGGGGCTGGCGAGCACCGCAGGGGCGGTACCGGTTCCAGGGCAGAGCTCCCGGGGCAGGCGAGCACCGCTGGGGTGGTACCGGGTTCCGGGGCTGGCGAGCACCGCAGGGGCGGTACCGGTTCCAGGGCAGAGCTCCCGGGGCAGGCGAGCACCGCTGGGGTGGTACCGGGTTCCGGGGCTGGCGAGCACCGCAGGGGCGGTACCGGTTCCAGGGCAGAGCTCCCGGGGCAGGCGAGCACCGCTGGGGTGGTACCGGGTTCCGGGGCTGGCGAGCACCGCAGGGGCGGTACCGGTTCCAGGGCAGAGCTCCCGGGGCAGGCGAGCACCGCTGGGGTGGTACCGGGTTCCGGGGCTGGCGAGCACCGCAGGGGCGGTACCGGTTCCAGGGCAGAGCTCCCGGGGCAGGCGAGCACCGCTGGGGTGGTACCGGGTTCCGGGGCTGGCGAGCACCGCAGGGGCGGTACCGGTTCCAGGGCAGAGCTCCCGGGGCAGGCGAGCACCGCTGGGGTGGTACCGGGTTCCGGGGCTGGCGAGCACCGCAGGGGCGGTACCGGTTCCAGGGCAGAGCTCCCGGGGCAGGCGAGCACCGCTGGGGTGGTACCGGGTTCCGGGGCTGGCGAGCACCGCAGGGGCGGTACCGGTTCCAGGGCAGAGCTCCCGGGGCAGGCGAGCACCGCTGGGGTGGTACCGGGTTCCGGGGCTGGCGAGCACCGCAGGGGCGGTACCGGTTCCAGGGCAGAGCTCCCGGGGCAGGCGAGCACCGCTGGGGTGGTACCGGGTTCCGGGGCTGGCGAGCACCGCAGGGGCGGTACCGGTTCCAGGGCAGAGCTCCCGGGGCAGGCGAGCACCGCTGGGGTGGTACCGGGTTCCGGGGCTGGCGAGCACCGCAGGGGCGGTACCGGTTCCAGGGCAGAGCTCCCGGGGCAGGCGAGCACCGCTGGGGTGGTACCGGGTTCCGGGGCTGGCGAGCACCGCAGGGGCGGTACCGGTTCCAGGGCAGAGCTCCCGGGGCAGGCGAGCACCGCTGGGGTGGTACCGGGTTCCGGGGCTGGCGAGCACCGCAGGGGCGGTACCGGTTCCAGGGCAGAGCTCCCGGGGCAGGCGAGCACCGCTGGGGTGGTACCGGGTTCCGGGGCTGGCGAGCACCGCAGGGGCGGTACCGGTTCCAGGGCAGAGCTCCCGGGGCAGGCGAGCACCGCTGGGGTGGTACCGGGTTCCGGGGCTGGCGAGCACCGCAGGGGCGGTACCGGTTCCAGGGCAGAGCTCCCGGGGCAGGCGAGCACCGCTGGGGTGGTACCGGGTTCCGGGGCTGGCGAGCACCGCAGGGGCGGTACCGGTTCCAGGGCAGAGCTCCCGGGGCAGGCGAGCACCGCTGGGGTGGTACCGGGTTCCGGGGCTGGCGAGCACCGCAGGGGCGGTACCGGTTCCAGGGCAGAGCTCCCGGGGCAGGCGAGCACCGCTGGGGTGGTACCGGGTTCCGGGGCTGGCGAGCACCGCAGGGGCGGTACCGGTTCCAGGGCAGAGCTCCCGGGGCAGGCGAGCACCGCTGGGGTGGTACCGGGTTCCGGGGCTGGCGAGCACCGCAGGGGCGGTACCGGTTCCAGGGCAGAGCTCCCGGGGCAGGCGAGCACCGCTGGGGTGGTACCGGGTTCCGGGGCTGGCGAGCACCGCAGGGGCGGTACCGGTTCCAGGGCAGAGCTCCCGGGGCAGGCGAGCACCGCTGGGGTGGTACCGGGTTCCGGGGCTGGCGAGCACCGCAGGGGCGGTACCGGTTCCAGGGCAGAGCTCCCGGGGCAGGCGAGCACCGCTGGGGCGGTACCGGTTCCAGGGCAGAGCTCCTGGGGCAGGCGAGCACCGCTGGGGCGGTACCGGTTCCAGGGCAGAGCTCCTGGGGCAGGCGAGCACCGCTGGGGCGGTACCGGTTCCAGGGCAGAGCTCCTGGGGCAGGCGAGCACCGCTGGGGCGGTACCGGTTCCAGGGCAGAGCTCCCGGGGCAGGCGAGCACCGCTGGGGTGGTACCGGGTTCCGGGGCTGGCGAGCACCGCTGGGGCGGTACCGGTTCCAGGGCAGAGCTCCTGGGGCAGGCGAGCACCGCTGGGGTGGTACCGGGTTCCGGGGCTGGCGAGCACCAGGGGCGGTATACCGGTTCCAGGGCAGAGCTCCTGGGGCAGACGAGCACCGCTGGGGCGGGACCGGGTTCTGGAGCTGGCCG